CGATTGTGACGTTATTATCTCGCGAACTTTAAGAATTCTCTTTCATTCGATGGTGACGTTAGTATCTCGCACACTTTAAGGATTCTCACTCGATTGTGATGTTATTATCTCGCGCACTTTAAGAATTCTTTTTCATTAGATTGTGACGTTATTATCTCGCACACTTTAAGAATTCTCTTTCACTCGATTGTGACGTTATTATCTCGCGCACTTTAAGAATTCTCTTTCATTCGATTGTGACGTTATTATCTCGCACACTAAGAATTCTCTTTCACTCGATTGTGACGTTATTATCTCGTGCACTTTAAGAATTCTCTTTCACTCAATTGTGACGTTATTATCTCGCGCACTTTAAGAATGCTCTTTTATTCGATTGCGACGTTATTATCTCGCACACTTTAAGGATTCTCTTGCATTCGATTGTGACGTTAGTATCTCGCACACTTTAAGGATTCTCTTTCATTCGATTGTGACGTTGGTATCTCGCACACTTTAAGGATTCTCTTTCATTCGATTGTGATGTTATTATCTCACGCACTTCAAGGATTCTCTTTCATTCGATTGTGATGTTATTATCTCGCAGACTTTAAGGATTGTTTTTCATTCGATGGTGACGTTATTATCTCGCACACTTTAAGGATTCTCTTTCATTCGATTGTGATGTTATTATCTCGCGCACTTTCAGAATTCTCTTTCATTCGATGGTGACGTTAGTATCTCGCCTACTTTAAGGATTCTCTTTCATTGGATTGTGACGTTAGTATCTCGCGCACTTTTAGAATTCTCCTTCATTCGATTGTGACGTTAGTATCTCGCGCACTTTAAGGATTCCCTTTTATAATCCAACTACACTTTGTAGAGTACAAATAATTCCATAGACGAGTACAAACATCACGCGGTATTTGTACGCTAGATTACCGGTTAAACAGGTTTTCTCGCATCGCGCAAGCGAAGAATGTAGTTTCGGAAAAAAAATGGCGGACAATTTGAATCATATTTCCGACGACGAAGAGTCAGAATGGCTGGCAAATATAGATCCAAGTTTATTAGATGAATTGAACAAAGAAAAACAGCTAGATGACCAGGAAATTTCTTTATTTATTGAAGAAAATAGAAACAGCAACACGATATTAAGATGCCAATTCTGTTTGGCTTCACATACTTCTGTCACGCACTCCCCGTAAATAAATATCCGCGAAATTCACCCACACTGAAATAACAGTAGTATCGCTGAGTATTTTTACTCTTTATTTGTATTTTGACTTGCCCTACGAGCTTGTCAAAATACGGCACAACTCGTAAAAATACTCAGCAATACTACACAACAAAACGTCTAATAAGATATATATCCTCCCATTGCAAGACTCGTAGATCTTATGGGAGGAGAGAGCGCAGACCCTCCCCCCTGGATCTGCCAATGTTTGTATGCTTGATACAGATTGAGAGGTTTAGATTTTCAGATCTGAGCACTGTTTGGGTCATTGGGTGGTGTTCTTTAGTAACAGTTTCCTCTTGCGTAGCCTCTCTCTACCCAGGAGTGTAATTGGGTACCAATCAATTATCAGGGAAGCCAGATGAAAAGCTGGGGTATAACCTGCTGTAGACTAGCTTTGCATACCAAAGGAGAGAACAAACTCCTTGTTGCATAAACTGCTCCAAGAGTGGAATAACCAATGAGGGTTATGAGCCACTTAGATTGAAGTTGTTACTTTTTGAAAATTTTTTTTTTTATGCTATATTGAGTGCTGAGTGTGAGGAACTCTCTTTCTGTAGTTGGCT